CACACTCACTCTCTCTCACACACAGACACACTCACTCTTTCTCACACAGACACACTCACTCTCTCTCACACACAGACACACTCTCTCTCAGACACACACACTCACTCTCTCAGACACACACACTCACTCTCTCTCACACAGACAGACACACTCTCTCTCTCTCACACACACGCACACACACACACTCACACACAGACACACACACACTGAACAGCTCTCTACCACACACACTGAACATCTCTCTCTCACACACACACACACACACTGGATGTCTCTAATACATATGTAAACATATGGCCAAAGGCCTTTGCCCACCTAGCCATTGTTTTATGGGTGACCCTCCCATTGATTGATGTCAGACATCTCATTTAGTTTTTCTACACCTCACACTCTCCAAAACCAAACACCCCTTCAAAATAAAAGCCCTATAGATGTAATGCTACTTGAACTTAAACTACTACGTACATCTGATATGTAACTCCTTCAGCCTGCTTTCAGCTGCACAAAATATTCAGCTATTAACTTATTCAGCTATTTCAGGACAATGAGGCTATACATGTTGTTGTTTATACCTTTTTTAAACCTTTTCTTTTAAATATTAAGCTTCTTCACTATTTGTCCTGCTCTTCCAGTTTAACATTTCACTTTAAAGTTTCTAACAAAGTCATTGCAATGCATTTGAGGCGTAACAATTTGATTCAAATCATTTCACTTTTCTGCTTTTCTCCGCTAAGTTCAGCAACACACTGACTTGGTCTCTGTAGCTAAAAGCAGCTTCCATTCAGCTAAGAACACACTCAGCTTTTTCTGCATGTTCAGCCACAAATGTTCACAGTTTACAGCATTCGCATTTTCTGCAGGAAATGCATTTTATGAATCTTTCAAAACTTCCAAACACCTTGTCCTGGACATAGTTTCTACAGTATAAACTGTGCAACAGTACAGTAGGCCCACACACACTGCAGAACACCGGGGCTTTGCGAACACTCAAAATTACTTAAAATGATTTAATTCCCATTTAAGGGGCCTTTTCCCCTGTTTTTTTTCTCACGAAACTGTGTCTCAGGGCTTCTTAAAATGTAATAAACGATTCATGTGTCCTACTCATTTAACGGGAAGAAACTCAGCTAACTGATGATATGAACCATGTTTACCGAAACTCACTGTGAGGGAATAATTTTGTCTTTACTCCTAGATATTTAACCATATTGCCTGTTGACGTTAATAACCAACCAATATTCTGTTATCTCCTTTAAGGAATGTGCTCCAGCACTTAAGTGTCAGTTGTATGGCCTGATAGGGGGGTTTACGACTGTGAGAATGCTGGCTTCTAAACACCACTGACAAGTGATTGAGTATTTCTAGTTGGGGGATATCTCCTCTAGCTCCACAGATGTTTACGCCTCCCCCAATATGCTGATTAACTCTCTGTAAACTAGTTAAAAGGTCTATCGAGAGATAGGCTGATCAGAATTGACATGGCAACCCACCCGTGCAGTCATAACCTTTTGCTGCTGTGACTTGTGATATGAATTCTCCGGCCGTATTCTTGTAATAAACATCAGTGTTTGACATCAAAGCTCCAACTCTCCTCGTGTCTCTCTGAGTCCTGACTCTCCATTGCTGCAGATGTTTCCCTTACACTCACTCTAGGTATACATTAATCAATATACTTATTGGATATGCACAAACAAGCTTAGCTAACAAGCTGAGATTCCACAGATTCTAGAAATATAAGTATCATCACTGAGCGATCAGAACTCGCGACAGGGGAAGCAAATAAAGACACGACGTAGCTTTAGGTAGCAAATCCATAATTCTATTTTTATGGACACAATAGTTTTCCTATTAGCTGCTAATGATAGCTTCCAGAGTGAATGACAGCTTCCTGTTTTGTCTCCTTGGATACGAGTCCAAACAACTCACAGACTGCACCGGGCGCAGACCAAGCAGCAAACTCTGGGGAACAGCCGGGACGCCAATACGGAAGTGCCACACACTGCAGTTCATACATGGGCCGCTAGGGACTGGCTGCAGAAAGGAGCAATTTCCATAGACCCCCATGTTAAAATGCCCAACTTTACAGCAGAAAAAAACATGTTTCTACCCATGGATGCAATACATATTATTATCGATATAGTTAGATTCCACCTTCATGATTATGAATCTGTGAGTGAATTGTTTTCTAACACGACCCTTTTATTTATATTAGGTCTTAACGTTTTTACATAAATTAGGGTGTGGTCACTTTGATGGACATGTACATGCCTCACTGTCAGCTAACAGCAACTTGTCCACTCTGCTAGGCTACAACCATAGAGGCTACAACGTTAGTTAGTCATAGTACTGTACTTGACCCTTTAGCTTTAGCCGTGTTCGTGGTGATTGTGCCTTTTAGGGAATATTGTTACAAATACCAGACAATTAAAATGTCGTGCTGTGCGCTTGAATGTACTAACAGAACTTCCAAGAAGTCTAAAATGATAATATTATACATGTTAACCCCGTTCGCAGGTGTTTGTGTGCTTGGTAGCTTAGCTTGTTACTTATTAGCCAGCTAAGGACGTAACACTTTTTTGATTCAGCCTTGGTAAGACTTTTATAGTCTATGGCTATGACGTCCATAATGCTAAACGGGAGCAAATATTAATAGGGGACCCAATTATCCCAGTGGTGGCCGCCGGAGCTAACGGAGCCGCAGGGGGCTAGCTCCAGCCGGCGTCCCGGAGCTAGCCCACTGCGGCTCCGTTAGGTCCGGGCGGTGGAGTCCGTCTTTTCTCAACGTGTGAATGACAAGCATTAAGAATAACAAAATATAGCTAACTCTCTTGCAGATTGCCTCATTTGATTATGAATGTAACGTTTATATAGGGGAACTACACTGTTAGCAGTAACTTGGTATGCATGTATTTCATGTTAGCTTAGCATCTTAGCCTGAGCTAGCTCTGTTTACTTCCAGTTTGGAGGCAGCAGGTCCCGCCTCGGCTCCGCCTCTTTGCCCTTATTTGGAGCAGGCGGGATTAGACTCTGACGTCACAGTCGAGCCGTTAGTTGCCGACTCCGCCTAC